ATAAGTAATAATATAAGGATTAAGACAGAGTATATAGGGTACGAGTTTGACAAAAGAGAACACGAGGTAGGTGAAATGAGGAAAATATTGACAATATGCGAGGACCTGATAGGTGAAGTGGATAGTTTTAATGAAGCTTTTTAGTTGGAAGGAGGTTAAATATATAAAAATAATATTTTCATAGTTTTGACATATCATATATCAAATTTGTTTATAGGAAAAGTATTCTCAGAAATAAAATAATATTAATTATTATTTATTAGTAATAAGAAGTACATTTTTACTAATACTATGAAGTATTATTTATATTAAAATAATTTATAGGAATGATTCAAAAGGAAAACTATGATAATAATATTATTTTAAATAAAACTAGAGAAAGGTTAAGTTAAAATTAATTTACGTAAATAAAGACTTATTAAATGAACATTCATATCAACAATTTAAATAACCTAATATGAAATAAAATATAATACATTAATATTCATTATTTATTTATAACCAATCATAACTTGATATAAGCATAGAATTTTTTATTGAAACATCTAGTTTTTCAAATTTTAACTTCATTTTTAAATAATTTTACACATACTGATTAACTTTCTATACCATATGATTAGTTCTACGCTCAATTTTAATAAGTACCATATTTGGAATATACTTTATATGGGTTGACCTACTTGTACATGCCACGCAAAAATCTATGCCAAACAGTTGTTAACTATATATTTCATTGAAATAGAGATAAAAATTTTAAAATGCATCGCATCAAATCCACTTTTAAAGTCGAAATAAAGGAAAATGAAAAAAAGATCATATACATTATAAAAATTGTAATAAGATAATTGGTACACAAATAACAATATAAACAATCAATTAGATGGCGATAAAAAATAATAATTAGTTAGCTTAAAAATAATTTTTTTTTTAACCCAAACTTTTAAGTTTCTGAGAATTAACCAATAAATAGAGCACCTTTTTTTGTAAAAAAAACTAAAACAAAAATATTGTTTAGTTGAGCTACATTTAAAAAATCAATTAAATTATACATTAACCATTAAATTTCTTAAGATCTAAAAACAATAAATAACTTACATCCTGGTTTTGAACCGTTTTTTTTCGTACATCTATATGGTTGGTAAGTACCATGATATTGCTGGGGTTGTATTTTGCCATAAATATTTTTATCCATTTAAAAGTTATTGAATGTAAATTATTTAATAAACGCACAAATTATGAAAACAAAAAAAACCGACAATACCATCGACGGACGACATAGAACTGACGTTGCGCATGCTAAGGGTCCTGATTTCCGGGATTTATTTTTATCTAATAGGAGACATGCCAGAATTACATAAGCCGAAACTGCTTTAAGTTATCATTGAAAAATGTATACAAATAAAACTAAAATTTAAGCAACAGATTTAACAAAGTAACACAATGTGTGTCAGCAGTAATGGGACTGAATGTTATGAGTGATACAATAAGCATTCCTGAAGGCCAATGTAGTTGTCGGCAAATAAAAGTTTAAGCATCGGCTATATGTGACCATACGCAACGAGACACTTGTATAAACAGGATTATTATTTAATGTGGCCATGTGGTCAAGCCACGATTAAGTATAATTAGAAAAATTAATACATTTACAGTTTTGCATTAAAGCTAAAAAATTATTGTACACTTATAAAAAGTATTAAATAAATATATATTTTAGATTCGATGTGTAAAGCTATTGGTTTTATCCTGTCATTTTTTTTATTTGATATGATTATACGGTCAAATTTAATGTAATCTATTATTTAATCAAAAGAATTGTAAACATTTTCAACAAACATATTTTAAAAAATTAAAGAAGATATAGTAAATAACATATCTAGCCCAAAATGAGACGAAGTAATAATTATCATTTTATACCATTATGATAATTATAATTAAAAAGCCAGGTCCATAAACTAGTTACTTATTTGAAATTCATGCTTTTAAATTTGCTAATAATAATTTATAATGTAATTACAGTGTACACAGACACATTTAAAATTTTGCTTAATATGTAACGTAGAAGCTTGTTGTCATGGTAGAAATAAGGTGATACTACTATAAAATAAAACAGTTTATTTATTCGGTTACGTTTATTTCACTTATATAATAGTACTAAGTTGACAATTAAACAGTATGTATAATATTTCGTGAATGGAAAACAAATAATTATATATATATATTTATACATATATATTACACAATAATGCCGATCTCTAAGTACCACTAAGGAACATAGCCTTACCTTTAAATGGGCTGGGTGGTTGTTTGATATGTTTACCATATAATTAACCATTTTAAGTAATTAAAAAATGAATGCTTGTGTACTGTCTTTATAAATTTGTAACTTTATAAAGAATTTAATTATAAAAAATTAAGTTGTTGAAACTTTATAACCTAATTAATAAGTTTTATTTAATAGAATTATTTACAATAATTATTAAAAATTTAATAAGCAAAATATACAAATCCTACCGTTTATTAATAGCTCCACTGATTGAAAGGGAAAAAAAGTGTATTATCAATTGATATTTGTTTAAACTTAATATCCAAATATGAAAATAATTTGTATATTCTATAATAAAAAAAAGGTAAACTAAACATTGTAAATAAATTAAACTCAAGTCAATCTTTGAATATTTTTTCTATAAATGGCTAAAAAAAAAGTTGGATACCATCAACGGTTTTTTCTTTAATTACCAAAAAACCAATCAACAATAAATAACTTAGTTTTGTAAAGAATTTATGCCTTAATCAATTTTTTTCAATTAATAATATATGAATTTGAAATCTTCTGTGCAAAAATATTACAACTCCATTTTTTCTATAATCACATTTTGAAAGTTCTTAATTAAGATTAAATTTTTATATACATCTATTTAACAAAAAAAGTTACAATAAATATAATGAAAAATATAGTAGTTTTTCAATTTTTTTTGGATATAAAAATACTTGTTAAAAATGTCTAGTTTTCTCAATTTCCTAGAAATTATTAAAAAATGGAGTCATCTTGTTTCTACACAAAGCCTTTCAATTTTGTTTTTGGTTAAACATAAAAACTAACAGAATAGGAAGTAAAAACATTTTGGGAGTTTTATATTTAAAATATAATACATATGATAACCAAAAGCTTGAGATTAGGAGATTAGACCTTCATGGAAAGGGATTAAACATTAGTCAAAGACGAATTTTACAGAGTATGAGTATTGATAAAGGAGAATATGAGGTATTGACAATAAGCTAGGACGTGATAGAAGAAATGGAAAGTTTTAAATATTTAGGATTAGTTGTGCAAAAGAATGTTGTTATTAACGAGGATGTAAGACACAGGATTAAGAGCGGGTGGGTGAAGTGGAGAGAATTGTCTGGTATGTTATGCAACAAGAAAATCTTAATGAGACTAAAAGATAAGTTTTATAAGACTGTAAAGAGTCTGTCTATTTTGTATGAGTCAGAGTGTTACGTTGTTGATAAGAAAGTAAAGCAGAGATATGAATGCTTCTATGGATGAGGAACGATTATGTAAGAAAAAGCTTAAAAGTAACGTCGATTGTGGATAAGATAAAAAAAATTAGAATTCGATGGTTTGGTCATATTATAACGACAAAGAAATCAGAAGCTGTATAAATGATTATGAACATTGAAGGAAGAAGAGGAAGAGGCATACCAAAAAAAAGCAATAATTTACTTTATCCCAAAAGTAATTTGGGATGATATGAATACTGCTGGTATATATAAAAATAATGTTGGAAATCACGTTAAGTAGAAGTTTAGAATATGAATTGCTGACCTCATAAATAGTTAGGATAAAGGTGAAGGAGAAGAATACATAACATAACAACACATTAGTCAGACATATTTTTTAGTTTTATACAAATTGGTTAATTTTTACACTAAATACACATTCTATAGATTTTATACTTATTATTCTTAATTTTGTGTTTGCAATTTTATTTTAAAAGTTATATTTTTAATTTAATTTAATTTTAATAATAAATTATACTCTATTCTATAGATAATTTCAAAATTAAATTAACAAACAACATTAAATTTAATCTACATTTAAGTATATGGGCCTTTTTACCCAAAAATTTTGATGGATTTTTTGGATCCATGCAAAAATGATACATGATATTGGTTAAGTTGATAGTACAAGCAATTTGATATAAAACAAGAGTTAAATAATTCAACTCTTACTTATGTACTGTACAATGTAATAATTATTATAACATTGTACAGTACAAACATACAAATATAGTAATATATTACTTAACTTTGAATAAAATACAAAAATAATAAACTATTTATAGTTGAACAACATATTGTAAATATTTCATAAATAATTAAAGGTCTAATATTTCATGCATTTATCAACTTTCTTTCATGAGTCATAAATAAACATTTTTATTTAATAAAATAAATAATATATATATACAAATTAAAAAAAAATTGTATATTATGAAAATACAATTTAATGTTAATTTTAAAATTGTATAAGAAAAATAAATACCTAAAAAGTTTTAATAAATTAAATTTTCGAAAATTTTACTAAATCAAAATAACATACTTAAAAATATTACTGGTTTTATATTTATATAGAATATGATTATTTATTGCAATAAATTTTTAAATAAAAATATTTACCTAAATCGTCCATTGCAATACAAAAATATTTGTGAATTTCTTCAAATCTGCTAGCTAAAAATGAGTTGTAAATAAATTCTACTTTTCTTCATTTAAACATTTATAGTTTAAGACTTCGTAATGTTTGAAATTCTTTAAACTATTATTATTATACTATAGAACACGTAAAAAAATATAACAATCTAATCAATGTTTATAATATGAACACGTTATCAAAACACTATCAGTTCAAGAAATATTAACGCAATGTTGCCGATTAACCAAAAATTAAAACAGCTGATAGATATACTTTACCTGTTATCTCTATAACACCCACACACTTTTCTATGATCATTCATGGTGAGTTCATTTAACAAATATATACATACAAACGCGCATATATACACGCCATACTTATTAACATAATTCCTGTGCGCTTGTCCCCCGCCGACCAGACTCCTCACTGGTTCGTACTTTTGTCCCTTTCCCTCTTCTTAGTGAATTCAACAGGCTATTTTTAACCCCTACACATGCACATATCATTCCTCTTTAGATATTTCTGAGCACATGATGCGGCTCGTTATTCCACTCAATGTGCTTCATGGTCCTCCTTTACACAATTGAACTTTACCCTTATCCCCATCCAATATCCTTTAAATAAATTACAATCGAATCAATCCTTAAAAACAATGGACTCTAGTGAATTCATAACTACTGACAATTACGCCACTTTATCCAAAGAAACAACTTTCAAGTAAGTAAATTTATTTTGGTTTATGTTCCATGAATAAAATTGATTTCAACAACATATCTTCTTAATATTATTAATGAATTTTTAAAATTATTCTTGTATGGATTTTTATTCATCATATGAAATGAATATTGATATTTTCAGCGATCCAAATTTCTTTGAAACTACTGTTGAACCATTATTGGTTCCTGGCCGTGAAGGTGACCTCTGTGAGTGGCTAAAAAAAATTGGTCTTATTGCTAAAGAACAAAAATGCCCTAATACTGAATGCCTCAACATAGATAAAATGCAATGGCATCGAGCTCGAGTTGTTGACAAATATAACTGGGTGTGTTTGGAATGTAAAAAAAAAGTTCCTGCTAGACATGCTTCTTTCTTTTCAGATTTTAAATGTGAATTAGGATATGCTCTTAGAGTAATAGATGGTATATTATTACTAATTTTGATAATACATGTCATTATAAATTGCATATATTAATGTTTAGGTTGGTGCAGAAACTTGCCTCTTAGTGATGTAGGTGGTGAGGGCCGTGTAAAAGCAAATGTAGCTAAACGGATATTTAATAGTTGTGTACAAGTAGCAGAATGGCATTTGAAAAATATGATTGGTGAGTTTAAACTAGGTGGGCATGATGTTGTGGTTATTGTTGATATATTTCCTGGTGGAAATATGAGTTTAAATACACCTACAACTTCACACAATAATAATTTTTCTAAAAGAGTGTTATGTATTGCTGATACTGCACATGTACCTGTACGGGTCTGGGCTAATCTATTGGAAGGCTCTAATAAGGTAAATTAATCTAACTATTCTTTATTTTTTTTTTATATCTAATTCATTTTTATTTAGGAGAATTATAAGATAATAGAAATGGTAAAAAACCATGTAATGCCAGGTTCAACAATTGTAACAAATGAAATGCTTTATCCATTATTACGAAACCTTCCAAGTATTGGAGAAGTCATTAGTACAGAAGCACTTATAAACCTTGATATAAACCATGATCAAAAATCTTTAAAGAATTTAGGTAAGTGATTTTATGTAAGAAAAGTATTAATTTTTATAATTTTAAAAACATAAATATATGTTATAGAGACTATTTGGGCTACTACAGTTGATGCATGTATTCAAATACAAGATATGTCGTCCACACATGCTGAACAGCATTTATATGAATTACAATGGAGACAAATGTATGGATTCATAGCTTTTTCTTCCATTATTCAACAAATAGTTGAATATACTGAGTATCACAATCCAATACGTACTCCCTTACCTAGCATTTGGCCATCAAATTAATGTATATAAAATATTTTTTTAATGATCAACAAATCCCACCGCTTAAGTTTAACATAGTATATGTGAAATTTATTTTTGATCTTTTTCATGAAATAATAGAGTTGGTTGTATAATATATAACAAATATTTATTACATATTAAAATTTGGTTGAGAAATTAAAATTATTACTAGATTAGAAAAAATGAGTTTCTAAAGAAAATATGTGGTCAAGTTTTTTTTAAACATTCTTAAACTTTACACTAAGCATTTTACTGATGCTCAAAAATGATATCAAACTACATAATGTTGCCCCTACGTTATGGTTTCTATTATTAAAAGCTATAACATCTATATAGTAAAATATTACAAAAAAGGTTTAAATTTCATTTATAACCAATAAAGACTTATTTTATTGCCATAATATTTACTATAAAATTAATTTTTGGGGTATGAAAATTATTGTATATTTATTTAATATGTTCAATTAGTTTATACATTTTTTAATTATGTGAGAATATATTGACTTAAAAATGAGGAATAATTTCCTACAGTCTATTTCTAAGTTTATTATTAATCTTTAATAATAATTTACGCATCCTATTTTTTTACATTTGAAGTTCATTGTTTTGGTCTATTTTTCAATTTATTTATTCAATAATTTTTAATTGTATCATTAAATTATGATAAATCAGTAATTATCACTAAATTTAATAAAATTGGAAATAGTGTCGTTTAATGGATTAATTGTATCCACTATCATAATTTAAATAAAAATAATTTATTTAATTTGAATTGATGAATTAAATTTTTATGAACATGTTACCATATACTATATTGTATGTCATATGGATTTATTTATGTGGGAATCTATTTTATCAATATAAAATTAACACCCTAAATTATACATCACACTGCCAATTAAAAATGTTACTACTATACAACTTTTAAATCAATGTGGTGATGATTACTGTTGAAGACTGGATTATTATTTGTAAAATTGTTATTTTAATTTTTAAAATTAGGTGCCATAGCATAAAAATATGTAAAATTAGAATATAAATATATTATAAGATAGCAATATTTTTAATAAATATATATTTATTTTATAAAATACAGGGTAACAAAACTGTGTAATAATCATTTCCTAAAATTAATTGTTAATTTTTTCTTATTATTATTTATTTTACGCACTATTTAAATGAAGACTTTATATATATATATTTTAAATATGTCAAGTGATCGCATACAGAAATTATAATGGTTTATAGTTACTTTGATTTTGTAGATAACATCACATATATTTAGTTAATGAAATCCATGTATATAATAGAAAATCAATTTAAAATTTCAAATGAATATGTTTATTTTTATAATTAATGTAATTAAAAACTAAAGTTTAGTTAAGTATTTTTATATGTAAATGGTACTTGTGAATAATTGTACTAAAATGAACTTAGTTACTATCATTACATATTTGTTTATGGGTTAATAAATAGTTTTATGTAATAATTCCTTAAATTAATATTTTATTCAAGATTTTGCAAATAATTAAAATAGTAATTTAATATAAATTATTTACAAACTAATAAATTATTTAATTTATGTAACTTATCTAAATAATGACAATAATTGAAACTACTAAGTGCCTCATGTTAGACTGTTTTGATTTTAAGATTTATTTATGTTGTTATCTATAGTTATTATATTACTTTACTTTATTTAAAAATATTTTCATAATTATAATATGGTTTAACAATAGTACACTCAAATTTTACTTATAATGTTAAAACTTTTTATAAAAAATTTAATTTAAAAGTTATTTTAAGTTTTCAATGTTTATGTAATTTATTGTACCAAAGATTTTTATAGATGATTTTATAATATCTAAATACCATCATGATAAATTCAATTTAAGATCATTAGTGATTAAATAATAAAATAACATATTAAATAGATACCTCATTTTAACATAGTACAAATTCTGTTTTTTTTTTTTTTTTTAGTACTTTCTTAGGGATATATAAAAAAATTATATTAATATTAATTTTTCTGCACGCTATCCCTACATTTATTAATTTTATTATTATTAATTTTTTGCTTTATAAAAAAGCTTATTTCCCTTCAACACATAAGATATATTACACAAATTTTTAAATATGAATGGATGCATTAATTTGAATAAAGAATTACTCTTCAATTTTCAATGTTTTAGTTAAAATTTAAAATCTTTTTTATGACTTTTTTTTTTTTAAGTAACTAGTTAGTTTTGTTCAGAACTATGTCTTCCTCTGATTAGTTATTTTTAACAAATGATTTTTTATATATAAAAAATGTACAAGTTTATATAAATTAATATTTAATATGACTGTTATATTAAAATCTATAAATATAATTTTACAGAATATCTCAAGTTGTAATAAGTGAAATTATCAATGTATTTTTACTTAATTTTTAGTTGAAAAGCTATTGGTTTTATTTTCCCCATTTTTTTTTTTCTTTTTTTTTTTTGTATTTGTTTGTTTCTTGTTAATTATTTTAATAGATTAAGTTCTACTGAACTAATTTTGTTCAACAATACATCAAAAAGTTGTAGCCACCAACGCCATACTTTTGATCATTTCCCCCTTAGTCCTGGTAATAAAGATAAATGTTCCAAAAAATGATAGCTGTCATAAATTAGTTAATGTTGATATTTTTAGTGTTCACTTTATTTTGAAATAACTTTTGAAAACTACGGATTATTGAAAATTTTTTATAGATAATACTTCGACCATATGTCTTACTCTGTTGGTATACTTTTTGAAAATAAATTATTAACCGAAATTTTGTGGTGGCTCAAAAATAATATATATTTTTTTTTTCTTTCGGCTTTTTATAATATCCCAAAAAACATATTTTCTTCAACTTGCATTCAATTAAATCAAATTTAATATACTTCATAATAAAAAATAACTATAATAACTCGATTACCAAAAAAACACATTAGACATAAAAATAGGTATAATGGTTTAAGTGAGGGCCATTTTTTAAAATTTAACGCGACCTGTCATAGAGAATGTATCGGAAATCAGGTGAAAAAAGGCATGATACAGGATTAGAGCCCTTAAAAATTCTAATAGAGTTATCGCCAAATTAAATAATGATAAATTACAAAAATTGTATTTTTAATTATCAACTTTGATGTCCGTTTTCACAATAAAAACATTCAATAAGGTATAAACATTTTATTTATTATATTACATATTTTTTATATTAGGATAAAATTTTATCAAGTTTATGTGGTATCTATTATTAATTTTAATAAATGTATTGATTATATTTAGATTTTCTGTGATCCTTGAAACATATTTTTGTCATTTGGCCCATCAATTAATTTTCTGGCCTAATATAGAAGCTTTATACCTCATGATACCAACATTTAATAATTAAATACATATTTACATTTAATTAAATACATTTGATACATTTTTTTATTATGTAATCAATCAATAATATGACCAAATAATAAAAAAAAATTATACACTTTTCTCGTAATAAATAATAACAATAAAGCTTATTAATAATCATACATTTGAAACTTAATTAAATAGAATTTACTTTCCATATTTTAACCAAACCATCGTCACTGCATGATGCCAAAATTCCTTCAATTATAGGATTCCACTGTATGGAATTAATATCTTGTAAATGTGCATTATTCATATGAACAATACATGAAAATGTTGGTTGATTATGATCTGATAATTCATCTTCTTTAAAAATTCTAATAGAGTTATCGCCACAAGCTGTAGCAATCAAATCAGATAAATGACACCACGAAACATCATATATTGGTCTTGTATGATACCCACTTATAGTACAAACACATTTATAAACAAATTTTTCATCTTTTACTAATATTCCTTCAGCATTACCTAAAGAAAATTTCAGATATTATAAAAATTAATTATAAATAACTTATATTA